CCTAGCTGCCCTTCAAGTCTGGAATTGAACCCATACCTGTGGCTTCCAGCCATACAAAAGACAGGCATGTGAGCTGAACATTTACCTGAGGTAGAGACACTCCTTGGAGAGAACGACCATGGGAGAAAGAAGGGCTGGTTATGCACAGGGAGACAGCTCAGGGGGCAGGAGTGTACAGAGGGATGGACATAGGGAAGAGGTAACTATTGGGAGGAAGTGGGAGGAGAACTGTTGCACTGGGGTAAATAGTAGTCAATGTGATGAGAAAACATGTGTGTGAAATTCTATATGGAAAGTGAATTTACTCTGTAAATTTTCACCCAAATCACTGTGTGTGTGTGTGTGTGTGTGTATAAATTGAACATAATACCTTAAAAAGTTTTAAATTAAATAATCACTTAAACTACAACCTAGCAAATACTGAGGAGTTATTTTTGCATTTATACTTCTGTATTAAGCATATTTTATTTGAACCAATCAGACTAGGCCATACACATAATCACTCAACTCACCTTTGATGACCTGCACTGATTCATAAGGTCAATGTATTGATTTCTTCCTATGCCAAGAAGCCTCAGACCTGAAAGAAAGAACCTTCCTTTAAAAACACGGAACACACCTTGAAATGTCAGCACACTCAGTGAGGTGCAGTCAATGACTTGGTATGGCTCTTCCAGCCACTGTCTTTGTGACTCCCACCAAATGAATGGGTGGGACTATGCAAATGTGAGGTGCTTTGTGGCCTACCACGGGGACTGAATAGCTTATTAGTAATGTAAATAAGGTACATGGCACCCTAATGTGGGGATTGGTCAACCTTGTCATTCCACTAGGCTTAAAATGAGCCCTCCCAGAGGCAAAACGAGGCCCCTGCTATCATCAAGACAGAGAAGAGCCTGGAGTGGAGCACATCCTCAGACCAGAGATCCCTGCACTGAGACTATGGCAGAGACACTGGCACAGACAGCAGCAGCAGAACCAAGAGACCAGCACAAGACAGAGCAGCGGGCCCACCAGTCAACAGAGAAAGCTGAGTGCCTCTGGGCAGAAGTCTTGCTGGCAGAGCCGGGTGCACCTAAG